CCCCAAAACCCCAAAACCCCAAAACCCCAAAACCCCATAAGGTAGGGTGAAGGTGGAGATAGTAATTTTTATAAAAAGTTTATAATAATGGGTTGCGCACAAAGCCAGAAGGTTGATATACCTATAGTTGCTATCTCTTATATAAGAGGACCAAATAATACGATGAGAAGAGTTTCTCAAGTTTTGAATCATACTAATAGTAAAGCCAAAAGAAAACCTCAGATTAACCCCATCCCAAAGGAGCCAAACTGGGATGAGAAGAGTGATGATGAGTTTTTATGCATGATTTGCCTAGAGACAAAGGAAAAGTCTCTAGTTACTAACTGCTGTAAGAATATTATCTGTGCTGACTGCTCTAAAAGACTCGGAGGAAAATGTCCATTAAGATGTAAGAAACTTTCTACTTTATCCAGGACAAGTAAAGCGTTAAATGAGAGAATTCAGAAAATATATTCCCTCTGTGAAGTATGTCTTGCAAAGGTACATCCATGGGATGTGGATGACCATAATGAAACCTGATTAGATGGAATCATTGAAGATCCATCTCTCGTATTTTGGTAAGCCATTTTACACATTTCATTCGCTCTATTACTTTCTGAATTCATCTTATTTGAACAATAGAGATCATGAATGGAAACTTATCAGAAACAAACAAAATTTCTTTTGGGTTTGCCACGCAAGGACAGATAATAGTGAAATCCATAATGATTCAAGAGGCAAGCTTTCCTATGAATGAAAGAAGTGACATTCAATGTTATGCATGCTCTGTAGATCAAATGATGAGTTTAAACAGCTCGAATCTGCTAAAGGACTGGTTTACTAAGATCATTTTGATATAAATAACCAGTCAAATGAAATCCGAAGATCAAACTCCAAATATATTATGATATGCTTGACCAATTATAAAACCTTGAGAGTGGCCAAACGAATCCAAGATTTGGGTGATCTTGAATTTCAGAAGGAACTTGTTCGTTCTGATGTTTATTAGAAGACAGACTCTAAAAGATCTTTTAGCTGTTTGATCACAAAGGCCAAAGGATATTGGAAAAATTCAAGTAGAAGTCTAAGATCATTGAGTTTATTGGCTCAATCATCTCTCTATCTTTTTCCTTCCTTCTAATCCTTTCTGATACTTTTAATGGCCAGAACGAACAGATAATTTTTAATTATTTAGAATTATGCTTAATTTAAATGTCATATTTTCATCAGAATTTTATCAAAATGGGGTTTTGGGGTTTTGGGGTTTTGGGGTTTTGGGG